ACTGCCCCGAGGAGCTGTACGACATCATGATGAGGTGCTGGAAGGCCAGGCCTGAGGACCGTCCCACCTTTGAGTACACACAGAGCGTTCTGGAGGATTTCTTCACTGCCACAGAGAGCCAGTACCAGCAGCAGCTGTAGCGCAGGACGCTGGGGGCAGACACTGCAGTGACCACACATCCCGCTCTTCCCTGTCCCACCCGTGCCCTGCTTCTCCCGCCAGCCTGGCCCTGGATTTCCCAGGATACATCGTGGCCGAGGAGCCACAGCCTTCCTGGAGCAGCTGGGCTGGAAGCAGAGCAGGAGGGAGCCATGCTCGGGATGGATGGAGAGAGAAGTGATGTGTGGCTGTACCCTGTGCCTTTCCCAGGAGCCTCAGTGCCTGTGGGAAGCACTGGCTGGACAGTGGTTGCCTTGCTGGCACCTCTGCAGGAGGAGGGACAGGGATGGGGTTGGCCCTGCTTCTGCTACAAAGTAAAAAACCCAGATTAGTTTTTTTTTTAATTCTTCTGAGATCTTATCCTACCATTCTCCAGGTGCTTTAGCTGCGCTGGCCTGGGTGAAATGCCCTGCAGTGCCCGTGCCCCACCTGGTCCCTTTGTGTCCCAGAGATCCCAGGGCATTCCCAGGCGATGCAGCACTTTGACTCATCCTCAGCGCAGGATCCTGGAGTTTGGATGTCAAGTGTCACAGACACGTGTCCTGCTCTCTCCCTCCTGGGTTTCATTCCTCAGTATTTTCACAGCACTCCCCAGTGCAGAGCACAGGTTTGGTGAGGCTGTGCAGGAGGGTGGGCAGACAGACAGACGGCGCTTTTCCAGGCTGTCCCTGGATGGATCCCCTTCTGCTTGCCTTGGGAGGAACCTCTGGAGCCCAGAGTCGTGGCCCAAGGAAACCTCTTCCCCATGGCAAACCTCACAGGCAGGATTTGATGTCTGCTGGGGCATTTGCAGAGCCAGAAAGGGCCTGGTGCTCCCTGCACACTCACTTAATGTTGTCGTTTATTTTTAGTATTTAATGACAGGTTATTTGGGGGAAAGAAGGAAGCAATATATTATTTTTAAGATAGCCCTGTACCTCTTAACAGCAGGGAGATCAGGGCCTGTGATTATATTTTCGATACCAAGAGGCAAATGCCGATGCTTCAGCTCTTTTCTATCTGCTTTGTGAGCTTCTTTTTGTAATCAATAAAGTATTTATCAACCTCTCCTCTCCTGGCCGTTCCTCCTGCTCCGGAGCCCGGGAGGGGG